ATGTCCCTTAGTCTCAGCCTATAGTACTAATTAAAAGCAGACCTGTTGGCATATTGTGCCTGGAATGTATCTATCTGACTGGTGGCATCTTACGATGTCAGAACATACTACACTATTGCTAAATCGGGCAACGACAGGCACAGCAGCCCGTATTTTGGTAATTGGAAGCGGAAATTAAACTTATTGCGCTATTGACATGAATTCCTTTAGCAAATTAATGTATATGCAGTCTGATGCGGCAAGGTATCTCATTTGCCGGGGAATGCTGATCCTCTCTACTACATTCCCGGCCGAGGTTATTTGCGAACCCTGACAACCCCCTCTTCTGAAAGACAGAAGGCCGTCGGGTTAATTGGGGCCGAGCTCTGTTTGGTGAAGAGATTCTCATAAAAAAGGAAAACCGAGCATTACAAGGTACTTCGGAGCTACCCATACTTTGTTCTAATAGTTTTTGCAGGGGTACAAAATGTGGTTATTACTGCATCTTCTTGCCGTGATCCCTATCTGTGCCATTACTGAGGCGTCCAATTATACTTATACATTTTCGTCCGGACATGCTCTCTTGTATTCGAATTCCAGCGCCATCGTCCAATTCGTTGATGGAACAAACCCTCAACGACAATTTCTTCTAAATGAAACAACAGCAACATTCCACACGCGCAGTCATGCATGGGGAGCAGGAACCATAAGCACTGATTCTGGAGAAGGGTCCTGGAACCTGGATCATATTCCCTACAACAACTTCACTGGACCTTACAACATCCCCCTTGATGATGGCCTACGACTGAGAATCATACGGTCCCCTGGGCGGGTCCTCACGGAAACGTACATATTCGAGAATACCTCGCCTGAGAGGACCACCGTAACAGGGTTACACATACAGACTCCCTTTAACGACCTTTATGACACAGCCCTTTGGTCTCTGACATCTGCCGTAAATGCCCATATTTTCACTGGCGGTGCATGGGCATGGGCGTTAGCTGAACCTATGTCAGGCGAGGGTCGCTCGCTAGGCCTCATTGTTAGAAAGGGCCATTTATGGAGCTACTCTCTTGAGTCATCCACCAGCTCTGATGTCCGAGGGCACATAGTTCTTCAAGTCACGGACGCCAAGGGGGACCCCAATGGTTTCGGTGGTCAACCAGTGGCCTATATTGACTCGGGAGACTCATACGTTCTGGAGTGGGAAATTGGGTTCTATAATAACACCAGCGACTTCATTGAAGCTACGAAACCTCCAGCAACCTTCTCGGCGTACTCGGCCCCTTTAGACCAAGAAATCACCGTCAGTTCAGAGATCAAACCGACTTCGTCAACTTCGAATTTGAAGATCAGGCGGAGAGGAACTAGCTACACACTCAGTGCAAGTTCACCAGGAACCTATAACGTTGATATTGGCGATTCCCGGACTGAAATCTCATTCCACCTGCCGCTCGAAACTGTTGTGCGAGAGAGGGCCCACTACATCCTAGAACACCAGCGGCCGGTGCAGCGTCCAGCCCCTCTCAATGCTGCTTTTGTTGCCATTGACACTGAAAACCTTACTACGATTGTGTCAAGCACATGGGACGACTGGGGGGATGGTTCGGAGCGGATTGCCATGCCTACGCTTCTTCAGTTAGCAGCTATGCAGGGCTATATATCGTCCGAATTAGTGGATATCCCTTTGAGAAATTGGGTCGAGTTTGCTAGTACCTCTCTATTTGACTCTGAAGGGAATACGCGCCGTTGCACTGGATGCTCTCAAACTCAGAGGCCATACGACGCCATATGGCTTGTGATGTTTTTCAACGACCGGTACAAATGGCTCGGCAATAGCACAAATATCGACACGGCAGTGACACTACTTAACAGAGCATTCGAAGTCGGACGGGTGCAGGAAGCACCAATCATCTTCTTTTCTCAAGCCATCCTAGAACTCTGCGACAGTCTCGACAAACTTGGACGATACAACGAAAGCGCCACGTACAAAAGAAAACTTGTCGATACAACTATGAGCTTCGTGAACGATGGACGCGACCTCCCGGCATCCGAAGTCAGCTATGAGCAGTCTATCGTCGAACCTCTAGTCGAGATGGTCGCAGACACATTTAATTTAACAAGAAACGCCACGCTGCTGAGCCAGACACAGGAGCGTCTTAACTGGCTCATGGCCTTCTCCGGGTCACAGCCACATGCTCGGCTCTACCAAATCGCTAACCGCCACTGGGATGATTATTGGTTTGGCCTTCGTCGTCAATGGGGTGACGTGTTTCCTCATTACTGGAGTGCGTTGACTAGTCAAGCACTCATCCGCCTTCCTCGAGAGCTGAGAACCAAGCAAACAGATGATATTGCTCTGAAGATCCTACGATCTAATATGGTTAATTTTTTTCCGGGAGGGTCGGCAACTTGTGCATTTGTCTATCCTTCGGCAGTTAACGGTAATTCGGCTAATGTAGCTGACCCTATGGCTAACGATCAGGACTGGCATCTTGTTATTTGGTTGAGGCTGCTTGAATATGGGGTACCAAGCGCTTGACGACTCAAAATACCAAATATAATTCGTTGGAAGTGGAAGGAAGTATATAAATAACAAACTCTTATGTTATGAACCTCTTCTGGATCTATTTTATCATTGATACCATCTTCTGTTTGTTCTGACAACATGAAGATTGATACGGCCTGTGTAAATTTCAGAATGGTCAAACAGTAATATATAATTACTGACTATGATGATTTACCAAAATAGAGGCAAATTGAACCTTGCGGATAAGACATCCTGTACTTGCTTAGTTTTCCCAGGGGTCGGCCGATTACCACCCGGGGCTGGGAGGCATCCTATGCTCTAGCTTAGATACTGGACTAGTCAGATCAAACGATGATCTGTATAAATGAACTTGGTATTCTCTCGTAAAAGCTTAGTGTGGATTGAGGTCTGCCAAAGAATATATTTACGAGCTTAATAAACTTTATACAGGAGACCTAGATCCCAGACCCCGCAGCCCAAGTCATACAAGCTTTCGTAGGAAAGGCTATGCATTATTGCCACCACTATACTTTTAGGCTCCACCGGGTCAAGGCAATACATTGATAGCTTTCGAAGCCGCACTAAGTGCTTACAAAGCGCTAAGTTGACAGGAACAGTTGCGCTATGACAACATAGCTCAGTAAACCCACTAATAATACTCCGGTATATAGTCAATAACATGAAGCCGCAGCATGGTATACATTGACTATCGGTAATGTCCCAGACTGTACTCCCTCGTACATTCCTGCCAGCGCCAAGGCATTGGGCTGTATGTTAGCCTCGCCAGCACACACTGCTTAGAGGCCTCTACGAAGCTTAGCCAACAAATTGGATCGATAATGATAAGATGCCCGCCCTGTTTCCTCTCCCCGGTTGGTCTACTGGATGTGACTATGGCTGCAGTAGCGCCGAACAAAATTTTGTTCTTTATATGGCACTATTGGTGTTCCTCCAACTTGACAGCCCTGACCTACCAAGGTCTACTAAGAAGTTGCTTGCCCCGCTCAAGATGCATTTATATACCACTAGGGACTGCATCAAACAGCGTCAATCCATAGTGGTTGAGATCAAGGAACGCTTATTGATGGAGTTGCAGTGTAGACGATAAGCCCATTTGTCATCGGTCTGGAATACTAATTTGGTCCTATATACTATACCTAATCAATTACTAGAATAGTAGCTGTTTCCGTACGTTCTTTAGCTAATATGGACAGAAACCACAGTAATTCATTTTCGATCCTTATCTGAGAGCCCAAGAATTCCAACTAGAAATCGTGTTCAAAATTGAGATTAGCTTTGCAAACACTCGCCAAGGAGGAAAAAAAAAAAAAAAAAAAAAAAAAAGGAACAAAGCTACTCCCACCTAATCGGGTTGCGGCAGAGCCAGCCTTATCCCACAGCCCTGAATCCTGAACCCTGAACCAGGAAAATCTCTGAGGTGCGTCAGAGCGCGAGATCAACAAGACAAATGGGAAGAATACGCCTCCCCTCCTCTGGTATCACGCACATGCTGCCTGCTGCCTTCCACACGCGGGCAATGTTCCTGCGCGAATAGTATTACTTGTGGCGGTCCAGGGCCGTGAAATTGTTGGGGGCAACAGGTGCGGGATTTACGGATAGGAATTTCAAGGCGTCGGGAGGGGAAGGGGCCCAGGGTCTACAGGATAGATACCAGATATTGACTATCAAAGCTTAGCTCATGACATTAGGCCCAAAAAGTCTTAAACGTTCGTAGTACAGGGTACAGAAGTGAGACAATAGATAACAATACCTGTCAGTCCTCCGGAGCCCCGGCGGGAATATGACATAATATGACCTTAGGGACTAATACAATCACCAAACCAGCACTTGTTAATCACACACTATCCCACTAGGATTTGTCTTAAAAGGCTAATCTCACAGTTAAGCTCCTCGAAAGTATTCTTCAGCTCCATGTATTGAAAAAGGGTTAATTTTGATCGGGAAGCATCTTTATCGAAAATTCTTCTTAATCATGATTCCCTGCTCCTAATGCAGTATTCTTCTATTAGTTGATTTGTACAAAAGTGTCCAATTACTTCCCACTTTTACCCCACGCGGCTTGCGTACCAAAAGGGACCCTTGCTACTTTTACATATCTTCGGCCTATAGGGTAAATCAAACTCTCAAGCCCCTGTCAGTAATCACCACGACAAGCGCAACCCAACGTAGGCAGCAACATTTACCGAACAATCCCTCCGACATCCCCGGGTCTGTAATGCTAGCATCTTCGTACCATTGAAGTGACCAATCGTTCCTGATGTGGCTTTGATAATCGGACCTTAACACCAAGCATTTAGCGCGTGATCATGCAGGGTCTCATACTCCCCCAATGTCATGAACCCGAACTTTCAAGCCACCGAAAGAATCCTAGAACTGACATAGAATTCGTAAGGCACAGGTCTATAGCATTAAAAGTAAATACACCCCCCCTTCTCCTTCCGCTTTTCCGTCCCCCAATCCCAAAAATGCTCCTCCAACTCCTCCTGATAACTATGCTTCTAAACCCATTTCGACCATGTGAGGGCTCTCCGACTTTCCAAGAGGAATACCGGAATAGTAGCTATGTACCAGAAGTGATTGAAACCTCTCTGGGCCGTCAAATTGTGGCGCCAGATACTCTCTACGTGGCTGCAGCCGGTCGTAACGCCTTATACTTCATCGACACCCGGTTTGACCCTGAGACGGCGCAGCATATTAAACTCCAAATTGAAAAGGCCTCCGTGCCACAACCAGACGAGTACATTGCTATTGACGAGATTGAGGCCACGGCCGAAATCAAGAACAGCGTGACCGGGGAAACAACCTTCGTGTTTGATCCTGTATATGCTCGGCTGCTGTTCGCTAGGGGCATTAATCGACATAATCCGGATATCAAATTGCCGGAGTATGAGCCGGCTGGTGATTGGTTGGTGGTATATGACTTGGTTGATATTGTGAACAGGAAGGGTGTGGGGAAGGGTTGATGAATGCCGTCGATGTACGTCACACAGGGATCTGCTTTAAAGCTGCTGATGGTAGTGAGGAAGGGGTGAAGCGTGTTACTGTCGGCGTATGGATGAGGTGATCTGGGGAGTATGAGAAGACCTGTGATAGGCTTGCGAAGGGGATAGGATATCGAGGAGCTAATAGGCTAGAGTGATTCTCTGAGTTCGTTCGTTATTGTGAGTCGCTCAAAGAGGCATTTCGATAGTACTAGTTTCATCAACTAGATAGACCATTCAGTATAAAGACGGAATGGGGAAAAAAGCCGGGAAAACGAAATCTTCTTATAATAGTGGACAGCTGAGAACTGGAATGGTGAGATGGAAATAGGCTTGAATTATAACACTCTTCAAGATACAATGATTATCTAAGACAAAGTCCTATTCTCACACCTTGAGAGGTCATAAGAATGATACAAGTGGCTAGTAAAATGGTCGAGACAGTTGCCGACCCCCCACGCGCAGAGGGTATATTGTCAAAAAGACGAGAAGAGATCAGCAGGCCAAAGTACTGACTTTGCACAAATGAACAGAGAAAGTGACTGTTCAGATGCGTCCCTCAGAACCAGTCCCGAACTCTAGCATATACCCACGTCAGATCCACATCTTCTCATCCGAGCCCAACGGCTTCGGCATGAAGTCCCAGCCTACGGCGACACCATCAATAGCCGCAGAATGGCGTACAGCCACCATGGGGCCGAATGCGGTCTCGCGTGTCTCGAGGAACTGTGGAGGAACATCGTTGGTGCATTGGTAGTCTGCGGTCTCAAAGCCAGAGCGGCCGTCGAACTGGCCGAGCGAGCGCAGGTACTTCATGACACCGGCCAGGGAAACATCGACTTGCCAAGAGCCGCCCACGGTAGCTTGCTTGTACAAGGCCGCCTGGATACCGGCGGCGAGGAAGTAGCCACCAGCGTGATCAAGAGCCTGGCAGGGAGTGGGTCGGGCGGCCTCGCCGGCGCCGAAGTGCTCCGCTTCGGAGACGTTCATGCCGGAACAGGTCTGGACGAGGGAATCAAAGCCACGCCTGTTGGCCCAAGGGCCCTCAGGTCCGTAGGCGGACACATTGGCGCAGATGATGTTGCGGTTTTGGAAGCGTTGGGCAAGGGCCGCGGGGGAGTAGCCTCGCTGCGCGAGGCCGCCGGGCCGAAAGCCTTGAGTGAACACATGGGCGTCGACCAGCAGCCGGTCGAGCTCCGCCTGGTCCGCCTCAGTGGTTAGATCTAGCTGGATGGTGCGCTTCCCACGGCCAAAGTCCCGGTCCATTGTCGGGAGATCGGGGAGGTTGGGGCTGGTGACCCAGAGAACGTCGGCGCCGTGCGCCGCCAACATCTTGCCAGATAGCGGGGCAGCGATGACACGCGAGAGCTCCAGTACGCGGAGGCCCCTCAGACACTTGTCCGGCTTCGTAGAGGTCATGGTCGCGGGGAGCCCGACTGGTCCATCACACAGCTTCCGTAGGGTAATTGGAAAGTCGCTGACGGCACGGGCTTGCGGGAGCACGTCCCATTCCGAGTAGCTGCGCAGAGCGGAGATGACCAGCTTCGCGTCGAAGGCGGCCGCCTCCACATCAACCGAACGCCAGCTTACAAGCCGCGATGCGAGTTGCGCTCGGTCAGCATCTGGGGGGCATCCAACCAGGGCTTTTGCGCCGTCCCGGTGGTTGGGGAACGAGTCGTGCACGCGAACGTAGCCATCAGCTGTTTTGTGGAGTCCTCCGATGGGGCCCCAGGGCGACGGTGCCGGCTGGCCGTCTAGGGTGTACAGGCGCTCAGATTTGAACTCGATAGCCGCATGTTGCAGGGGAACTGAGACGGCGGGGACGGCGGAGCCGCTGCGAAGGGCGTATATCTGGGCGGCAAGTAGGGCGGAGAGCCCAATAGAGGCCTGAGCGAGGTGGGCAACTTTGAAGGATGAGGGAAGGCCTAGACCTTGTCCGGGCAGCTGAAGCCGGTCGTTTGGGACACCCGCTGGGAGGCCGAGAGTGTTCCATAGGTAGTTGACACTATCCCTGGCCGAAAAATGAGAGCGGTCTGCAAAGGGTGCCTCCTCGTCCCCAGGAACGGTGATGGTCAGCAAGGGCCCATGTTGCTGCGTTCCCAGGGTGTCTCTCTCCCCTACGGTTCCCTGCTCCCAGGGGCGGCGAATGGTACATTTCCAGGCGAGAGCAGGCTCGAAGAACATGTTGGTAATAATGTCTTCTTCTCGGAGGCGATACAAACTCATGATCCGGCTATTCGTCAAGACGTTTGCGTTTTTGACCCGTTCATACGCCTCTTTGGTGTCAAACATGATGTCGAATGTCAACTCGAACGGTCCGGAGTTCTTGGAACGGATAATTTTGGCGATGTCCAGCATCTGGCAGGTACGGTTGGGGATGGGTTTGGAGGCTAAGGGCTCCAATGGCTCGGCCGCGAGTCTTTCCCAGTCACCGTCGGTCAGACCGGGGCACACGGGTTTTGGGGCAGTCGGGGCACTGTCAATAGTCCTCAGCTCCACGGGGAACAGGTTCGTCTCTTCGCCCGGCTTCAAGTCGACCAGGTGATAGACATTGAAGCGAAACACGGTGCCAGCATTGGTTTCATGTGGCGAGAGAGGGGAAGCAAAGTTTCCTGTGGTCGCAACCTGGTTCTTGTAGGGCATGTGAAGGATAGAGGCACGGGCATTGTTGGCGATGGTGTAGGAAAGTTCCTGGGACGGGGCCACCACTTCGCCCAAGATACCCAATTCATGGCCCGCGACCGCCGCGGGCTCGATAGGTCCCATCACGCCATCACGGCCATAGAAGTGAAAGATCAGCTGGCACTGCGGCGACTGATCGAGCTGGGGGAACAGGTTCCGAGTATACGCGCGCACGTCGGCCAGAAAAGAATCGATTTGACCGATCAAAATCGGGTCTCGAATCCCTCCAATAAAGATTGTCCGGTATCCGAGTTTTTCGACTCCTTCCAGCTTTACCTGATAAACCGGAGTCGGGCAGAATTCAGCGCCACGAACACGGACCGTCTTCTCGGTCAGCTGCTCGTAAGAGGCATGGTCCAGACAAAGGACACCTCCGGGTCCCGGCAGACGGTCGGGACGCGTTTTCTCGTATAGTGTATGAGCAGCGACTGATAGAGGAGTGCAACGTTCGCGAGGCGCCAAAGGGGTGAGATCGAAAGAGTCGGAGCGCATAGTTGCAATCATTGACCGTCCCTTTGGTATGGCACAGATGCCTCCGCACTCCATGATTTTCCCCATATGCCATGCAACGCCTGGCTGCACTCCATGATGCATGGCGAAGGCGGCAAAGGGAGCTGGATCGTAGCAGCGACCGCCCAGAATAATATCGGGGTTGCTCTTCAGGGCCTCCGTGAAGCTGTCGGACGAGGTACCTGGTGAGCAGGGAATACACGAGGAAGGGGATGGACGTACGGTTCTGCACCCATCTGGGCGACGAGGTCAATGGCACGATCAACACTTTCAACCGTCAATTCTTCCACGGGACCGCAGGGTGACACCATGTTGTTGACGATGCGATGTGTAAGTAGATCCCGTCGGAATCCTGCATTGATGGTCGCCACTTTGAAAGATAATCCCTCGTGGGCGGCGATTTCCCGAATAATCTCGAACATTTCCTGGACGTGCTTATTACTACCATCTCCGCCCACGGATCCAATGAGAACTTGAATCTTCTTGTGAAAACAGGCTTGCAGAATAGGAGTTAGATCGCGGACATATGAGTCGCGACCGCAGGTCATCTTATTCAAGCCCAATTTGTAGGGGCCGCCATCGGTAGAGCCACTGTCGACGATAATGGCTTTTGGGGAGTATTGCTCAACGCCGTACCAGAAATGCTCGAGTTTGTAGCCATAGCCAAGCATGGCATTAGGGGTCAGAATACTGAACTCTGCCATGATTTCGGAGTCCCGTGGTCTATTCTGTCCTTGCCATAATCGAAAATCTTCTGGGTCCGTGCCTTTATTATGTATTGGGACGACCGCAGCTTCGGCATCTTACCGAGACCCCGCTGTGCTCAGACGGCAACATGCCGAACCCTACCGAGCACAAGTGCTGCTGTCAAATCGGAGACAATCAATTACTCCCAAGTAGTTGACTTGGCTTCGACTTTTATGCACCCTCTTGTCATTGGATTTTGGATTTTTCAACAGAGTCTCTCTTCTTCCCCCTTGGAGCATCCCACATCAATTCTGCTTGTTACTGATTTCTCCCTAAAGAGCCGCCTATCATGACGCGCGACCCGGCTTCTGAACTGCGTCTTCCAGGCTTCGACGAGCTGCCCCTGCGCTCGGGAGACCCCAAAGGATCCGCTTGGGGGCTTTGGGGACCGGACGACGAACTGGGCACGCTCAATCTGATTACGAACGAGGTCACCCAGTTAGCTTTGCACGAAGCCAAGCTAGGTCGCGTCGTCAATCTCAAGTATAGCGACTCTGCGTGTTTGTGTGTAGTGGAACGTTAACACATGATTGCGCAGTCTCCCCTTAAACGTACCGCTCAAGCCAATGAACCCTCGCCGAAAGCCGTGTGCACATAATTTGATCGCTAAAGGCTTCGCAAACGACGATGAAGTGAGTGAGCTTTCCTTCTCTCCTTCTACCCCTACCCATGACTATAAACATGAGAAATCTGCAGAATTACTGACAAGAAGATTAGTTGGATTTCAACACTCAAAGTTCCAGCCATTGGGATGGACTGCGCCACTATCCCTACACCGAGACGAAGCAATTTTACAATGGGGTGCTTCAGGGTGTGATAGCCTCCACAAAGAAACTTGGTATACAAAGTAAGTAAATAAGTAGAAATATACCAAGGGGCCGCGAACGGAACACAGAACTAATGAGCCTGGGCTTTCTAGATATGGCTCAGAAACCGATTGTCACCCGGGGGGTTCTTCTCGACTGGTATGAATATGCGCTTAAAAAGGGGTTTGAGCTCCGACCCTTTACCAACCAGCCCATTCGCCTAAACGAGCTGTTGGACATTGCCCGTGAGCAGCAGGTCACTTTCAGACCAGGGGACGTCCTCCTGATCCGCACTGGGTGGACTGACGCGTACTCTAAGTTGACCGACGTGGAGAAGAGGCAATTGGGAGGCCGAGATGATCGTGCCTCGTGTGGTGTTGAAGCCACGGAGGCAGTCATCCGATGGCATTGGGAGAATGGATTCGCCGCCGTTGCCAGTGACACTGTCGCCTATGAAGCCTGGCCTTCACCAAAACCATGGGGCGTGTGTATGCATGAGGTAAGCCATGATCAATAGCAAGTTCTGACACCAACGACTGGACTATCTCGATGACTTATACTTCCCTCTCTCTCTATTCTAGGTCTTCCTGAGCGGGTGGGGAATGCCAATTGGAGAGTGTTGGGATCTCGAAGAGTTGAGTCAGGCATGCAAGGAGCTGGGTCGCTGGACATTTCTTCTAACTAGTCAACCCCTGAATCTGCCTGGCGGAGTGGCTAGTCCCCCCAATGCCTGTGCAGTCTTCTGAGTATTCTTCTTTCCTTTTGCACTTCTAGGTTGTGATAAAGAACAAGAGGAATGTTACTACGATTATAGAACATTTGCTCACAAGCCGAAAGTATACTATGGCACTTCTAATGTTAAACTTTGTTTTCACGATGGCTTACGAGACTCCCCATTTCCTCCGGCTACTCGACAAATGGAGACCTTCGGCCTGATTCCGTGCGCTAACCCCAAAGCCCTGACCCAAGTCTGCCCCAGACTAACCCCTTCCCCACACGTAGTATCTACCAACCGGTCATTGTGGAGGATGTTATACCCATGCCACAAGCCACAATACAAAATTCTGTATCTTGGAAAAGGATGTAATTACCGGAACCATTGACATGGTCCAATTGCAGTTGTAGCTCTTATTTTGATTGCTGGAAAGATATCGGAATATCCTTTGAGACTCGCATTCAAACGGCTAGTCACGAACAGTAAATTTTGACCAGAAAGAGCAGAAAAGGAAATAAAAAGAAAAAGAACCTGTTAAAGACAATTGAAGTGCTTGGGTCAGAAAACTAAGATACCCACGTGGAGATTAGTCATCCGTGTCATCCGAACTCACCACTTCGTAGTCGATCAGAATACCATGAATTCCCCGCAAAACCTGTCCATCAAACATGAAATCGCTTGTCACAAGTGATTTCCTGCTAACGGCCTTTCAATAATGGACTCCCGTAGCCGTCTGTCAGGAAGAAAGTACAACTTTGCATGTCTTGCCTGCCGCCAGCGTAAGGTCAAATGTGATGGCCGCAAGCCAACCTGCAAAAACTGTGCGCGGTCAAACTCGAGCTGTTACTACAAGAATGACTCGACAGCCGCATTACACATGGCCGGGGAGCTGCACACCAAAGAGGCCCGGATCCGCGAGCTAGAAGATCGAGTCCGGGAACTCACTGCCACGGAGACCGGCGCCCACGATAGTCGTCCTGCCAGTTCATCCTCACAGCCGCAGCCGCAACCGGACATGCCAGCACTAACCGCCCCAACACAGACAACCACAACGGGCCCGGTAGCATTGTCCGTATTGCCGTTGCCCGTTCCTCCAGAGGCGCATACTGAACCGGCGGATCAGGAGCGCTACGAGGGTGATAACATTATCATCACTAATACAGATGGAAAAGTAAGCTCCAGACATTTCCATCACCACTGCACCCGGAGAGACCACGTTCGTGCTAAGTTATTATGCGAGCAGCAATATTTTGGCGCCACCTCGCGGTTTCGTGGTCTCTCGGATCATAAGGAGGTGCACGATGGACAGACCCAGAAAAAGGAGTCGGAGGTTCGAGCGACAGAGCTGTACCATCGGAGATGGCTGTCCTCCAATGCCCGGTTTCAGGCCTCCTGGGAGCGTACAGCGTACGAGAATATACCTCGTTATACAGACGTGGATCCCACCATCTGTATCAATCTCCTGGAAGTGTATTGGGCATGGCAAGCTCCCCTGCATAACTGTGTCTATCGACGCTGTAGGTCTCCAAACAACAAACCAATTTGGCCCTCTCTACTTGGTCTGACGAGACTTCTGACATGTGCCGTGCTGGTCTCTTGCAAGGTTTCTTCCGCGATATGGCTCTTGGGGGGCCATACTTTTCCACCTTTCTCTTGAATGTAATCCTCGCGCATGCCTGTCGACACCTGCCAGAGAATGATCTACGGTTTGCGTCCTTTGAGCGAGGAGAGTTCTTTCTACGGGAGGCGTTGCACCTCTTGGTTCGAGAGATGAGACAGAGCAAACCTCGGATTCCAACCATACAAGGACTCTTGATCTTAGGTGGCAGGCAGTGCGCAGTTGGGAATAGTAGTGAAGGATGGCTATATACGGGCATGGTAAGGACCTTTGTCAACCCGCAGCCGTTATTGTCTCGCGCCTTTGTTGACTCGTGGTCCTCCAGGCAATAAGAATGCTCACAGACCTCGGCCTCCACATAAAGCGTAGCTATGCGGACCTCACGAAATCAATGGAGCCAGATGATTTGGAAGTACGGAAGAGATTGCTTTTATCCTGTTATGCGTGGGACAAGTGAGTGAAAGTTCTCGCTAAATTTGAAGACTAAAGAAAAAGACCGCGGGCGCTGGTTGACCGGCAGCAGATCAATTAGTCTTTGCCTAGGACGATCTCCGTCTTTGACTGACATGCCCTTTTCCCCTTCCACGCTTTGTAGGTGTTACGATCCTGGGACATCAGTTCAGATGTTAACAACAATGTCATATTCTAGTTGACCTGTCCGACGATGATGACCTCTGGCAGCCTCCGCACCTATTGGAGACTGGTAAAATCTACCCCGCAACCAAATGTCATAGTACATTGACATTTATAAATTTCTGCAAATTAGCCAAGGTCAGCGACATTTCACGGCATATCCTCTCCTTTTCTCGTGTGCAGCCCTGTTGACATATCATCGCCTCACTTTTTTCTTTCCCAGATCATTAATGAGACCTACAATGTTATCTACAACGGTCCGGTTGGAAACGTGGAAATGAGCGTCATATCGGATTTGGAAAACAAATTGATGGCATTCAGGCAGGAACTCCCAGCAGCCCTTCAGATTGAAGACCCGACAAGCTTACAGTCCTGCGTTCCTCCTCATATTCTCTGTCTCAAGTACGTACAGCCTCTGATATCTCCTCTGTACTACTCGTTGATATCGGATGTGCTGATTGCTGGCTAGTATATTATGCCACACCGTCCTAATCTTGCTTTACCGACCGTTTTTCGTCTGGTTGTGGCACCCGAATCTGCAGAATAATCCCCTGGCACTACGGGCGCAAGTGGTGTGCACCGAGCAAGCCATGCGCGTGAATGAGCTCTTCCGCGCGTATGGCCGACTATTCAACTTCGAATTCCAAAGCTATTTGATTTCCTACTGCGTGTACACGGCGGCTACAATCGATGTGCGACTAGCACAACACAACAACAAACGTCTGGCGCACATGGCGATAGATCGCCTGGCGGTAACATTGCACATGTTGGAGACGGAAGTCAAGCAAACACCGGGCATGCGGCGCAGCATCGAAATCATTCATTCGCATATTGGGCAGCGCTGGTCGTTGAAGGAACAAATGCAGCAGCCTCAGGCTTCTTCATCCACCAACGGACAGGAGCAGCTACCCATCTGTTTGCTGGAGAAGGGAGGACCCGTAGGAGAAAGGGGGGGAGGAGAAGGCGGAGGGAGAAGCCAGCCTTTTTCAAAGTCCCAGTTCGATGAATCTGCTCTTGATCACGCAATGTCCCCCGGGTCGTCGTTTGTTTCGTCGGGGACCAGCCTGCATGGCTCAGCTGCCGACAAAACCGTACCCGAGTCATTATCCTCTCTCAACATCTCCTATGGGCAGCAGCAGGGACCGATTCTCGATCCCAATTTGGACCTGGAATCTATGTGGGTCGATTGGCAGATGGATGATGTCGGTGGTGGGTTTGTGCCGGAAATGGCGTATGATACCCCGTACAGCCAGCCATTCTCATGACGCTCCAAGAGCGTACAGGAACATATGACCATTTCATATTCACCCCACACGAATGGTGGGCAATGTATCAGCGAAGTTATCAAGTGATTTCCTTACCCCAGCAGTGCCATCATTTCTGCCGTTGCTTCTCTATGCATGTAGATATTTTTCAAATACGTTACTTATATTCTGATGACTCTATCCACTGAAGGAAATGTGGTGGCTCGACTCCTAACCGGTACGGGAAAACAGTCAATTGGCCGGCATTCTTCGTATCCTGTGGGTGGACCATCCCCACACAAGCCGGGGAATGCGGGGGAAAGATGGCGGCCAGCTTGCCCTTGCTCGGTAAGATGCCGACACCGATCAGACCACAAGGCAGTCCCTACATCCCTAAATTCCAAATGCCATCAAACTCCTCTCACAGATCTTCTTTATAAAGCTGTTACAGCCATATATGTTCAAATTTATCTCTCATTCATCATTGCTCATTATGGACAAGAACATTCAGCAAGATGGGCTGGTGGACTGTGTGGAGAACGTCGACGTCGACAAAATTGGTGACCCAAATTTGCTTCCAGAGCGGGCTTGGACCAAAGAAGAAGAGCGGCAAGCCCTAAGGAAACTGGACTGGGTGCTCATTCCTCTGTTAGTCTACATCCTTCTTTCATGTTCAATGATTCAATAACTTGAAGAAGCTTTTACTGACTAAAACAGGCTTGGATCCTTATATCTCTGCTCCTATATGGACAGAGGCAATATTGGCAATGCGTACACAGCTGGTATGGGTAAAGCCTGGGGGATCACCTCCTCTCAATACTCGATGGTGGTGACTGTCTACTATATCGCTTATATTTGCTTTCATTGGGTATGGCAATCCTTCTTTCCACAGGAACTGTGTTGTGGAAAAAACCGGGGTACTGGCTAATATCATGGTATCCCATAAACAGCTAATTCTGGCCTGGAAGGTAGTTCCGCTACCGGTATGTCTTCCTTGAATCCAATCAGTCCTCAGCACAGACACGAACAATACCGCTAATTCCAAACACAGTTATGGGCAGCTTGCATGGCGTTTGGCTGGGGTACTCTGGACATGATTCAAGCTGCCACCACTAGCTATGCCGGCCTGCTCGTGTGCCGCATTCTGGTGGGCATTTTCGAGGCCGGGTTTGTTCCCGCTATCGCTCTATATATGAGCTTCTTTTACCATCGGCACGAGATGGGGTTGCGCTACGGTTTGTTCATGGCTTGCTCGCCTCTGGCTAATGCCCTAGCGTCGGCCATCGCGTACGGGGTTGTTACCAGCCACGAAGGTATAGAACACTGGCAGTTGCTTTTCATCATCGGTAAGTTGCCTTTCCCTCTCTCTCTCTCTCTCTCTCTCTCTCTTTCTTCATTCCCTGTGATAGTAAAGGTCCTGACAATCTCCTTTCGCAGAGGGAATACCTACCTTGATTCTTGCCGTTGTCGCCTACTTCTACCTTCCAAATGGTCCTTTCGAGAGTCCGTTCCTCTCCGAGCAACAAAACCTAATTATTGGCCAGCGGGCAATCCTCGGCCGGGGTCGAGACCAAGAGAAGAAAGTCAACTTCAAGCAAGCCTTCGCGGCTTTCAAGGATTACAAGAACTACTTCCAGGCGGGGATTATCTTCTGCCTCAACACCGCGTTTGGCTCCCTCCCAGCCTACCTCCCCACAATCCTATCCCACATGGGATACACCAAGACGCAAGCCGAGGGCTTCTCCGCCATCCCTTACTTCGCATCCCTGGTCTGCTGCATCGGCGCCAGTCTTCTCTCCGACCATGTCCGCCAACGCGCCATCTTTATCTCCTTTTTCGCTTCCCTGGGCGGCGCCGGCTACATCATCCTGGCACTGGTCGCGACAAACGCGGTGCGCTTCTTCGCCACCTTCCTGATCTGCGCAGGCGTCTTTCCAGCCGTCTCGCTCACCTTCACTTGGGTAACCGACAACCAGGGCTCTTCCTCCAAGCGCGGCGTCGGTCTGGCCATCTTCGGCATGATCGGCCAGTGCGGTCCCCTGCTGGGCGCTCGTCTGTTTCCCTCGCAGGACTCGCCTATGTTCTCCAAGGGCATGTGGATCTGCGCCGGCGTACTCTTCGGCGCCTGTAGCCTCGCTCTCATCCTGCGCCTGTTGCTTTCTCGCGAAAACACCCGCCGCGACCGCCAGCATGGTTCCTGTGACCCTAACTACACCCCTCCGGATATTGCGGAGAAGGGTGATGAGCATCCCATGTTCCGCTTCGTTTTATAAGTGCAATCAAGTGCAATATAGGGACGAAAAGAGCGCCTACAAGGGGGAAGGGGATGGGGGAAGGACGCGAGTGACGAAGGGCTATGGCGACTGGGTGCGTCATGACCCGATTATCGTTGTGTGAGAGCCCGTTCTTCCATATCAACCATCGCGAGTACAGAAAGAATTGATTTCGCATTTTTACACAACCGGAAGCCTCTGTGGTGCTCTTTATGGTACATATAGATAGCTAGGAGTAGTGCTAATCTTATTGACCTGTCTGGTGGTTCATAACCCTGACCACGAGAGGCCCAGATGTCGCTGATATGTTCCAATTTTCTTTCCAAAGCTTTTCTATGAGGCCTAAAATTGACAGATAATACATTCAAATCTGCCTAACCTTCCTACGCCAGATACAGGAATGGTCACAGCGATTGTTAGTGCCTAGTTTATCAATGGTATCCTCATGCTCATAACTTGTAGTCGCGGGATTAGTCGCCGAAGCATTAGAAATACAGGGGACAATTTCTTTATCTGTATATCTGATTCGATTAGAGTAAACACCTTTGTTTGCATCCATTAAAGTATCCTTATCCCTTAAAGCCATCCGTTGTCGAGAAAACCGTCTTCCAATATCCCAAAGTCAAGAGGAATTGTTGACATTTGTGATTCTCGTTCAAATCTCAGTGGTTCATGACTACCCAGGCCAGCTGGCGGTGTGAAGATGAATGATGAGGGAGGGGTTTGAGTCATCGAAGAAGCCGGTACCGTAGACACGGGCGCATCTCCTGCATGCTCTATGCGATTCGAAAACAACCGAACAAGGTTTTGAGCAGCTGAGATCGTCTGAACGTCAATAGTCGTGTTTGAACTGGTATCAGGAGTAACTAGTTCCGCCTTGTGCATATCGAGAAGCTTGAGGGCAGTATCTACTATTCTGCCCATCAAGGGATCAAGATTGTGGCTTGGCGTTAATGAAGACGCCATGCACATCCATTGATGATAGAAGCACAGCAGCGTCGACTGGAAGACTATGGATGACTTGTTCGGGAACAAACAGTGAAGTCTTCGGTCATCATGGCTGCTTCCCAACATACTGAGTATATTGAGTGCTGCACGAACGCACCTCGACAGACTCTTCATGAATTGAGGGTGCTTCGGGTCGAATGTCAATGCTGGCTGGTGAATCAAGATAACAGCCACGTTTCCTAAGAAGTGTAGAAAAAGTGTCTCGAACGACTGATCTGCTGAGTTCATATGAAGAGTGTCCGGTAGACCATCGTCATGGTCTTTCATCTCATTGCCTTGGAACTGGACTACGCTGTGGCGCCACACTGACAGCTCGTGATCCAGTGCAGTGATTTTGGCGACACCATTTCGTCGTTTGGTAGTCGTATATAGCGACTTGAGGCAGCTGGAGAATATTCTGAGCAATTTCACGTAGAGGATGAATGTAGCCATGCTTGTTGTCTCTCCCGGAAGGGGGAGCGGTATGTCAGTGGCAGTCGCGTCATCTAGATCCGTATCAATAGGTAGGTCGGTATCCACATCATCATCCTGGATCATTTTCGGCAGACCGTGTACTATGCTGCACGCACTGTTTATGGAGATTAGTGGCTAACAGGCAGGTGTTGTTGGTTGGAAGCCTTACATGTCAACAGCGTAAACGCACCACCATATGCGTTTTCTTAACTCCATCTCTCCCGCACAGAATCGGAAGCGTCGGGAATGTCGATGAAGTCCTAAAGATTGCGCAAGTCGAACAACCTGTCCGCATGTTTGTATCCACTCATCGTGCTTCCGGGTAAGTTGAAGATATAGACAAGTTAAAAGTAAAGACTGCAGCCCTGGAAGGTCCTCGTTTTCAGGTGTGGTTGTTATCCGGGCACATTCCAAGGCTTTATGGTAGTATGTGTTGCACTCTGTGGATGAGCAAGTTTCCCATGCAGTAATAGAGAGGACAAGAAATATTTGCCTCAGAATAACATAATCAGAAGGTGAGAGATTAGGGTCGTGGGCTTCCACACGATCGAAGATCCTATGGAAGGCGGAAAGGAACTCTTTCTTCATGAGTATTGGCCAAATAGATGACCAAGAATGGAAGAACTCTGTTAAAGCAACCAAATATGATGCTCGTGTCTTTTCCAACACGAAATGCGGTGGTCTAGAATAATTTATCGAGTGTAATATAAGCAGAGGTTGCGAATACTCTGGGCAAGGACCGAGTAAATGGAGCCGATTAACAATATCTGGAAAGCCTTCTTCATGATCGAACAGAGACTTGTATACTGATTCGGCACAGCGTATAAAATAAATGCCTGTTGTTGACCCTGCAAATCGATCGACACTCGGTGTTAAGGGCACTAAGCGTCCCAGATGCTTTATGATAGGTTGACATTGTTGACTTGTAGTAGTTGCCGTATCAGACGATCCTGCACCTTGCAGTGTTGGATGACTGTGGGCTTGGAATCCAGGTGCAGTGTCGCTCCATACAGATTTGTCAACAGTTGTGGAATGGCTAGCACGTAGTTGCCGGATTTCGCGCTGCAGATTCTCATTTTGGATCCTGAGCTCATCCAGCAACCTTTCTTGTTGCTCAAGGTGCCTGACAAATTCATTAACATCATCCCCGGAGAATTGAATAATGTGACGAGATACAGCACTAACCTTCTGGGCCGCGTTCGTCTTTTGAGTTGCTTAGATGTGACACAGGAAGCTCCAGCGGTTCTACAGTGGCTACACTACACGGGTCCCACCGTATCAGTCCAATTTATTTATCTATAGAGTGATTGGGGGAGTAATACCGATGGGAGTAATCCGTCACAACGAATTTTCTTTCTGAAGATACCGAATCAGCTTCTTTCCGACCAACGATACTTAAGTTTCAGGGGATCTACATACATGCGGCAACGATCGCTGAAAATCTGTTTGTCAATAACATACCCAGTAAAATTCGAGAGATGGAAACACACCACACTTGAGACGAGAGTTGCAGCCTGGGTGTAGCACCCCCTTCTCCAATGGCTTCCATTATACCTGGTATCCCAGAAGTACAGAGCTATCCCAATAAGATTGAAGCCCAGGAATGTCGAGGCGCGGGGAAAGTCCCAAGTGGGTCACCTGAGGCATAGTAAGCACCTAGTCACGTGAGCCCGGCTAAAACCGAGACAGAATGGCAGTCGGAACTGTCCTCGCTCCACCTGCCACAATAGATCGACTGTGTGATTCAGCCACAGCAATTCGCAGAACGACGCTCCAATATTATAGAACAACCAGAAACGGAGCTGGAATGGAGGCTATAAATTTCCAACTTCACTAACAGCCCAGTCAACTTTCAGCTACTATCCCGACTTAGTGGTATACTGACAGCAGTGCAAAACATATATTAAAACTCGGACAGCTGTATGATTCATACTTAAGGCATGGGCATCTGATACTGACATCAGGAGACATGATACTACTGTTGTCTATTCTTTTGCAAGCTGAAATACAATGCTTGTGCTTACTGAGTATTGAGGCATGTACGTTCTGGGACAACAGATTGCCATAATTGACTCCGAATCCTATTGATATCCGATGATGCATACCTAAAGGTCCTTATGCTCAACTTCTTCAACCTCACTTTTTTCAAGTGAAAACCGGCCTTCTGCATCACAGTTTCGAGGCCGATAAGACGACCTAACGATTCCTCGAATGCTCAGCCCTTGTTTGAACAGTATATCCAAGTCTTCCAGCTTCCACCCCATAGTTTCCGGATACAGGAAATACACGGAGATAGGGATACATGCACCGATCACGGCATATACTATATAATACTGATAGCCTATATTGTTGATTGCGACAGGAGTGATCATTGTGACAACAAAATTCCTAACAAATCAGCACTGACACTTTCCAAAAAAAAGTCTGCAGCAAGAATGGAAGCTTACCATAGCCAATGGTTTGCAGTTGAGATCGAAGCCATAGCAACTCTCAGCCGGAGCGGCGCTACCTCGGTACAGTATAGAAAGTTTGCACCCAGGAACCCGATGGGGATGAAGAAGTTAAACAAGAAAATAAAAAGCGCCGAAATAATGGAAGCGGGCTTGTTCGTATGTGGAAAGCTCGTGGTGATTGCTAAGGCCAGCATACATAGCGACATTCCCGACCCGCTGACAATGAACACCACGCGGCGACCGAACCGATCGACGCAGTAAAAAGCCACGAAACACGAGAAGAACTTCCACGAGAGCGTCGCGGCAGCTAGTATTCGAGACATCATACTGGTCATTTGGAGGTTATCTTCGAAGATAACCGGAGCGTAGACTGAGATAAGGTTTCCTAAAAGTAGTTGCGTTAGCAATGGTATGCATACGTGTAGGGCGTGTCTCCTATGGGCACTTACCTCCTGACATCTGCTGATAGAACTGGAGCATAATGCACAGAGCGAAGCGAAAGAGTAATTTTTCATCATTTGGGCGCCAAATATCCATTATTGAGACACCACGAGAGTGACTCTCTAGTATTGACTGGATTGCCGCAATATCGCCGTTCAGGTCTTCTGGCCGGACTGATGCATCGCTCAGACTGACGAGTGTTGTGCGAGCCTGCTCAAGGCGGCCCTTTTGAACAAGCCATCGAGGAGATTCTGGGAGAAAGAAAATTGAAAACATGGGGATAAGCGAAACCAAACCCGGAATTGCCAGTGGCACTCTCCAGGCAACTGAACCGGTTTTGACTTGGTAGAGTCCCAGGTTAACCCACGACGTTATTGCGTACCCGGCGCTGATGAAAAGGCCATCCAGAACAACATGTTTGCCCCTATTATGTGCCGATGAACATTCGGACTGCCAGACAGGTACTGTTCCACTGAGCATACCAATGCCTATTCCAATTATAAGCCTTCCCACAATCAACTGAGCGAGCCCAAAAGAGGAACAACATAGGGCTTCCCCAATCAATGTTGCAAGTGAGCCTGCAAATATAACCTTTCTTCTTCCCAAGATGTCACCAATCAATGAGCATGAAAGAGACCCAACCAATGCACCAAGTGTAAATGTCGAAATAACAACACCTTGGACTGTTAAATTGTGGCTTTTCACTGCGCCTGACGTGTGAATGGTATCGATTTCAGGGAAGGTTGTGGTCCAGTCTTCCACAGATACGAGGCCGCCGACGCCGGCTTGATTGTATCCAAAGAGGAAAAAGGCAGGGCATACTACCAGAATCAACTGGGCAAGTGACAGTGCGTGACCATGGAGCGCCATGCTTGACACCACTGTTGTTCACAGGATCGTTGTCAAAAAAAAAAGAAAAAGAAAAATAAATAAACGGTGACGATGTATGCAGTCCATCTTGAATGCATTTATAGTTGACGGGCTACCCCACAATCAGACACTCTTCCCCGGATGATATTGTAGATGAACTTCGGGGTATGTAGGTACCCCATGTTAGCCAAGAAGATTGACGCGTGGTTAGCCCGAAATTGCGGGGATGGAATAGGGCTGGCTCGGGAGACTAATTTCGGGATAAGGCCTATCCCGTCGGAATAGTACCAAGCTCCGGGATAATACCAGCGTAGTCTCGGGATACCAGCGACGGTTCCGATCGCTCTCATTTAAAAGGGAAATTCATCAGCCACAATCATCACACTGCGCATACCTTCAATTCATAGCATAGCAACATCACCTATACACATCCCAAACAATGTTGAACAGTGCGGTCGATTCCCGCATTTTCCGCAATCTTTTTGGAACGGAAGAGATCCGCGACATATTCTCAGATGAAGCTTACATCAAGTGCTTGATTGAAGTTGAAATTGCTCTTGCGCGAGCTGAAGCAAAGGTGAATGTTATCCCACACGAATCGGCCAATGTTATCGCAGAGAACGCCAAGTACGAAAACCTAGAGTATGTATCCCCCTTTCCGAACCCTACAATTATGGACTAATAACATCCATGAAATTAGCCTCGACCGCATGGCCGCAGACACCGAAAATGTTGGGTATCCTGTCTTGCCGCTGGTGTGGCAATTGGCCGAGATGGTGCCCGAGGAACATGCCAAGTACATCCATTGGGGTGCCACGACACAAGATATAATGGACTGCGCTTCCATGGTGCAAATGCGTAGAGGACTTGTTATCGTCCGTCGGAACCTTCGTGAGTTGGATGCAACTTTGAAGTCTCTTTCGGAGAAATATGCCGACACGTACGTCTTAGAAATGCAACACTGTCAAAGAGGTGCTGACACTTCCAAGACCCATGGCAGGCAGGACCCATCTCCAACATGCTCTTCCAATCACATTTGGCTATAAATGCGCTGTATACCTCTCTGGTATCCAACGGCATATCCAACGATTGACCGAAATAGAGCATCGTTGTTTGCTGGTCCAGTTCGGCGGCGCAGCAGGAACATTGGCATCGCTCGGCTCGGATGATACCGGTCTAAAGGTGCGAAAACAACTTGCCACGGAGCTCGGGCTACATGATCCGTCAATTACATGGCATGTGGCACGAGATCACATTGCAGAAATCATCAACTTTCTAGCACTCATCGGGGGGTCTTTAGGGAAAATCGCTCTAGATATCATCATTATGTCGTCTAACGAGGTTGCCGAGGTGGCTGAGCCCTTTGTACCATTTCGGGGAGCGTCGTCAACCATGCCTCAGAAGCGAAACCCTATATCAAGCGAAGTTATTCTTGCCTCTTCGAAGTTGCTTCGGTCGAACGCATCATTGGCTCTGGATGCCATGGTGTCCGATTTCGAACGAGCTTCCGGCCCCTGGCACCTGGAGTGGAGCTGCGTTCCAGATTCATTTGTCCTATGCTGTGGCGCGCTACACCAAGCGAACTTCATTATGAAGGGTCTTCTCGTCAACACTGAAGCCATGTCAAACAATCTCAACATGACCAAGGGCCTGATTGTTGCGGAGGCAGTGATGATGGGAACTGCGCCGAAACTTGGTCGCCAGAGGGCACATGACGTGGTTTATGAGGCCTGTACAAGGGCAATTGAGGGAAATCTCCCCTTAATCAATGTCCTTCAACAGGATGACAGTCTGGTAGCTGAAGTCGGAGTGGAGAAGCTAAGGTCCCTTTGTGATCCATGTCAGTATCTTGGGTGCTGCCGACAGATGATTGAGAATGTCATTCGTGATGAGTAGAAATTTCCGTCAGGTGTGATTAACAAGAGAAATATATAAATTATAATACGTTGGAAGTTATTTGGTCTTCACACTGGATTGGAAACTACTATTGGATAACCTGCAGGTGGCTTACGTTATAATCGTACTCTCCTGCCAATTGCCATGGCTGGGGTGTGTGCCTCTAGGAATCACAAAACGCAAGTCAGAGTGTGTATTGAAAGTACAAGGAAACCTTTTTTTCCTCGAAGCATAAACCTTTCATCTTTCTCATTACCTCTAGAGTTGCTGCCAAACAGGTAGGAAAACTTGCTGAACGGGTTTTCGCTGATCGCGGAAGTTTTGCTGCCGACTTGGCGAGGACGGTGACATTCAACTGCAGGGATTTACGCATCAATTGATATATTCTCGGGTTAAAGGTTCCCGGTTCATGTACGCCTACAATATTGCAATGAACACATGCTGCAGGTGTATAAGGTCTACTATATGTATATGATCACACGTAGGTCACTAGCCTACTAATAATATTTTGATGCTTAAGTAGTTAATCTGCTAGTCCTAGTGTAGGGGCAAGATGTAGGCATCGTATAGAAATATTGCTCTCACCCAAGTGTAACTATCACCCGACAAATGAGTCTCTCTGTCTCAAGAAGGGACAAATAACAAGGTGAGGCATATATGTAAGACAGTCAAAGCTCTCAATCAGCCCGTACTGTTTTCCGCGGCAAAACAACTGATAGCTGCGGGGTCGTTGGTCCAAAGCTGTAGATCAAGGACAAGGAAGAATTTCTCCTCAAATAAGAACAAAGAAGATCAGCCGTTCTCAAACTATATATTCTGCTCGGCTAAATTGGAGTTCTGGGACTCTTGCCTGTTTCTCTGCTATAAGAGCATAATGAAGAACGCTTTGGACGGCTTGATTCACTGCAAAGGTGGCCCCAAGCAAAGTGTCCATAATGCCTTCTCTTGCAAGCATCATCCCTTTTGTATTTCTTATTCCAGTTGCAGTATCCGATCAATCCGTTAAGCTCAATGTTACCCGCGAAATAACAATTTCTCCGGCGGCTAGCCCTGGACCTGGGAAGCAGATTGTGGATGCAGCATATCAATCATTTTCCATCGAGTTTTCGTTCATGGCAGATTATGCCGGAAATGATACGTATGTTCAACCCTATATACTATTGGTCACGTATTTATAACTTTTCCAAGACACCCAAACGTTTTTTCGAGGCAAGTGATCCAAAACTTGTTCGACATATCGGGCGCATATCCGATCTTCCGTGTGGGCGGCAGCACCCAAAGCTCTGCCATATACTATCCGAATCAGACCGAAGCTATTATCGACCCCTTTAGCTCTGTCGCTTCTGACCAGCCATCGCATACGCTCATTGGCCCGTCTTGGTTCCAATCCTTCAGACAATTCCCCAATGGCACCCAATATATATATGGTATAGTTATCATGGCACCATAGATAGCAAAACGCTAACAGGTTTGCCCAAGGCCTCAATTTCTTCAATACGGTAAACGAGACATATTACAATATTGGGAACGGCCTTGATCAATGTGTACTCGAGGCAAACGCTGCCTACGAGACCATGGGCAACTCATTATATGCGTTCGAGATTGGAAATGAGGTAGATAGTAAGTTGGCTCGAAATCAGATTGTGATTGTCTACCCTGCGTTTAACAGTATAAACCAGGCTGGGGGAATGGTAAGCATAGATATGGTAATTGGACAGTCCAACGCTACGTGAACCAATGGAACGAATTTGCGACAGCTATCAGTCGGAACTTGACTGGTAAGGACGCAACGAGATTGTTCCAAGGATGTGCATTTGAGGCACCTCGCCATCTCGACGAAAGGACGGACTGGAATGTTGAAAATGCGGAGCTAGATGGTATGGGCGCAGACAAGACAAAGACGGTTTCCGACCACGAGGTGAATGAGCATAAGATCAGTAAATCCATCTATGGACTGCCTGCTAACAGGGGCTTCGTAGTATATGGGTGCTAATTGCCACTATACGGGCGCTGGGCCAACAATCGAAGACACTCTTTTTGATCGCACCAACATGCTCTCTCGTGTTTGGTACCATGACTATCTGGGCAATGCGACAGCGAACTCAGGTATCAAATATGTTATCGGTGAGACTAACTCCATTTCTTGCCAGGGCGCGTTCAATATCTCAGACGTTATGGCATCTGCTGTCTGGGCCATTGACTATGTCATGTACCTTTCTTCACTCAAGGTATCCCGTGTTCATTTTCACATGGGAACACGCTATCGCTACTCACCCTGGCAGCCTATTCTCTACAACGACAGTGCTCCTCACGTCAACCCAATGTACTATGGGAATCTTTTCAACGCTGCTGTGTTTGCAGGCAGGAACAAGCAGACGGAAGTTCTTGTCAACGAAACAAACTTCGGTGCATATGCGGTCTACCAAGCTGGAAGCCTTGATGCTATTGTGGCGGTCAACCTTAACATCTGGAACTCAACATCTGATCCAGTTGCTAGGCCTTACACAGCGCTAGCCCTTACTGCTGACTGGGAAAATGCAAAGGTTTCTAGGCTGACAAGTCCTGGTGTGGATATCGCTGGTAATATTACATTTGCTGGCCAACATGTTGATGAGAATGCCCGGATTGTGGGACGAAAGACGTACGATACGGTGATCGATGGCAAGGTCCTAGTGGGTGCAGGTGAAGCAATACTTGTTCAAAAGTGATTCGTTGCTTAAGCTTCAAGAGTGAAAATCTACTGGATATTGGATGATCGTATATATTTTAGGATGCGTATGATGATACACTATCTATCGAATGTTTCTTGAAGCAGGCATGAATCAAGTCACCAACTTTGGGACTCCCAGTGAACAATAAACCCGACAGTTATAATTATGAGCAGTTACGTAAATCGTATATGCAAGGATCATTTGTCCGAAGAGATAATCATTGTCTATTGCTAGTAAATTATGATCTATCAGGTCCAATCGGGACTTGTAAGAACCTCGGGATGTTTGTTAGGTTGCCACAAATACTACATTAGCTGTAAAGTTTTAAATTGCATGGTATCGGCTATACTGTACCATACCATTCACATTAATACCAATACAGCGGAGGCATACGGAGTCGTGCTTCATCCGGGCGCCAACATTCGATGCACAGGCTCCAGGTTCAAGTAGATTAAGTTAGCCGCATCGTAAGGGGCAATGTGTCAGCGGAACTTCCCGCTTCAAGACTCCGGAGATGGTGCCAGGTGAAGTTAGCCTCACCCCCACTCTCTTGTCAATACACACTTTTGATATAACTAAACCCTGCTTTCTATTACCCATTCGGCCTGTCGTCAAAATCTCTCCGGTGTAATGATATTTGAACCCGCTTCAGCTCCCCATTTCGACTGTAAAAAATCGACAGCGGACTGCCCACCACCTCCTCCCTCCTGAAATGGAAGAGCATTGACACCCTTTCTGCAATATACAGAAAAGGACCGTCGGTGAGCTGATCTCGCCACTAAACGGAGTTATGATCCAATAATTTAATCTAGTGGCGACTTGCAATAGGTCTGACGCGCCTGCCTTTTCACTCGCTCTTCAAGGTCCAGGAAGACTGTCACGCACATCTCCTTACCTGTTTCATGTGACCCTACAGCGGGTGGATGAGGTTAACGATCACTGTGTCTTTGCATGGTACCGCAGACCCATGGCTTTGCTACCTCAAACGGGTTTATTCTCCTTCATTGTACCGCGCAGGGCGAGCTGCACCAAGTCAAACTCCCCGAGTATACTATACTCCCCCAACTAGAACATTGGCACTTCTCCCCTTACAATATCCATAAGCCCGGCAATGTGCAGCAATATTACGATGTTATCCCCGACCGTCTAATCCCATACCTACAGACAGGCGAGCGATATGTACTCCTCTGGCCCGGTCAACAATATGGCTCATGGAATTGGACCGATAAAGTAGAAAATTCTAAAGTCGTCTTGCCAGGAGGGCCCTTCTTATCCTTCACAGTCAAGGACAATGAGAACACGCCGATCATGCCGACTTTGATCTCCGGGTGAGAATCTTCCTTGCTCCTCTGCTGCTTGTACTACCCCAGAACACATGCTAAGCTCCCTATGCACCCATATGGTTAGAGCACAAGAATGCCGTCCTACTCTGATTGCAAAAGTCGAATGTTGCCCCCAGGACCAGGTGGCTTTACAGGATGACCTCGTGCTTGCGACCCTTCATGTGACGTACGTGCCAACAAGTGGTAGCGGTGGTAGGCCGTTTACTTTCAACACGGCAGGGTTGACCGTCGGGCTCTGGGTTTGGCGGGACCGGTGGGTCAGTCTGAGAGGGTTCGTCTGCGGTGGAGCATGGGCATTCGTCGATGACCCTGATATGCAAGTCTCCCCGGGCCGTGATAAAGGCTTTGCCAGTCTGCGTCCAGGAGAAACGTGGTCCGAGGTCTTGCAACTTCCCTTGCTCACGGACATGGAGAGCAACGATGGCGGGGAGGCACGGGCCGGGGAAGGGATCCGGTGCCTCTTTAAGGGCCTCCGGCTCGACTGGTGGGTTTGGGGAAGTCGGGAGGACCATTTGGAGACGACAGTCACAATTCCAGCCACGGGAAGCTGGACCGTACGGGAGCCGGGCGAACAGCCCAACGCTTTTATTCCTGCGGCGGCACCCGTAAATTTGGAGATCATATAGTACGAGCCGATGGAGGAGATGATTTTCAAACACGCTACAGGCGACATGTCTCAGGCAACTCGTGAGTCATCTGAACTTTTAGCAATGCATCCAATTACTCGATTCTTCCAGATCAAGCTTTGGGAGAGAAATATGTATGCGTCTATAATATACTAACATATCAGAAGTCTACAGCACTAATATTGTATACAGAAGAGCTCATTTCTATATATCTATTCTAGCTTAAGATGGCTGAGCATGGCTCACTCTGTTCAAAATGATCTTGCTATATAATCTTGGCAAGCTATTATGAAAGAACCATTCTCTGAGCCTTGGAAGCCATGGATTTAGATTTTCCACTCGCTGCAAGAAGTTCTATACTGGTAATTTCCATGCCGATAGAGAGTATTACTTGAGTACTAACGGGACAATTTCTCTAAACTGCATGACAAGCTTAAGTGCTGGATGAATACTGATAAGACCAGAGTGGTGACAGTGACGGTGGGCGGTAATTATATCACTTTTGTAGATATTCTCATGCGTTGTATCCTGCGACGGCAGCCCTGGTCAATTACTCCCTCGGATAACTACTTCTGTGCGCATTTCATGCAGGCCGCTCGGGATCTCATGACGGACACGCGCGACAAGGGCTTACAGGCCCAACTATCGAACATCTATCGCGATATACTAGGACAGGCAGATAGCAATCAGATAAGCTTGTGGATTGCATTGCGCTTCATGTAAGCCCCGCCCGCTAACCAGATTTCTCTTCGTTAAGCAGGTCTATCTCTACGCTGCCGGATATCCCAAGCTCTTTAACGCCCAGACCACGTACTGCAACAGTCTCAATATCAGGTACTCGGGGGTGGACACCGCCGATCCCTACACCGCACTGACGACGAGCGTGCGGCAGGAGGTAAACGAACTCGTTGAAGACATCGATAAAATCATCCAGAATGCGATCCCGGATGCCAACAATCGCCGCGGATCCATGGACATCGCCTACGCGGACGTAGATGCCCGCTTTGAGGGCCACCGTTGGTGTGAAGCCGGGGTGAAAGAGCCAGATGCCACAAACCCCAGCACCTTCTTCTTCCTGAGCGGCTGGTCAGACATAACTGAGGAAGGCGCCATCCAGCAGGCCTTTTCTTCGGACGACGAAAGCGACTATATCAGCAGCCTGCAGGGACAGACGACCCTGACGCTGCCTGACGGTCGTACTTGCAACACAACGATGGGGGCCAATCCAGACCCCGTCGACGTGTACTGGTGTCAAGTGGCCGCGGCGGCCGTCAATGATACTGATGGAGCGCTCGAGCAGATGGCGTCCCGCGCCAGTAGCGAAGTCGCTGATGGGAACTACACAACTCAGGATATTGGATGATTGAAGCCGACCCGACAGATTGAAACATGCCATCCCCGAAGTGCAGGTATGACGCTGTATCGCGATGCCATTTTCGGACTTGATGCAAGACAATTAAGGTCTCAATTCATCTGGCATACAGCCCTCACCGAACCCTATGTATCATATTGTGATTATGGATTGGCATTGTATTGTAACATATGGTACTATGATTTACATTACGTTACATCCCATGCTCAGGCGGTAGGCGTCTACCAAGATTGACTTTGTAGTCTTCGAGCTGGTATAAGAGCCCAATAACAGCTTTTGAGGTAGCTAGAAAGATAGTACTTTATTCCTTCAAGGTCTTGTTGCTCAATTCTTCTAAACCGGTCACTCTGTGATAATCACGTGCTCTGTATCTTTCTGACTTGTTTGTAACATGCAGGTGTCCTATCCCTAAGACATTTTTCTCCTCGTCCTCAATTCCAAGACGCTAAGGGGCCGCTAAAATAGTGGCATGTGTCTTGCGCTGTTTATATAACTATGGGACGGGGAGCCTATCTTGCTAACCTTCTCTTCATCCTCGGGCGCCCACAGCATCCGACAGCACTTCGCACATTTTGAGGATCCTAGTTTCCAAAAATTTCAATCCAATGGGGCGGACTCTCGTTTTGCCTTTCAGTTTGTATGACTTTATTTAGCCAAAACGTCTTCCCGTTGTTTTGGTGTGCTCTTTTTGCTGACCGAGGATTAATCAGGATCATCCTTGCCCTAACCTGGGCCTCCTTTATCCCCCAGATCAAGCATGTGTGGCAGACGAAAGACAGCCGGGGGATCTCCACTGCCTACCTGCTTTTCAATCTGCTCTGCATCACCGAGCATGTCTTTTTTCAATCCCTTGACACCGCCTGTCTTTGGGATATCTCCAAATTGCCCTCGTCGCCGTTCTCTGTCTACCCCTTGGACTGGGCCAATCTCGCTCAAGTGTTAGGGGACTGGGTATTGTCCAACGTCCTGTAAGTCCAAACCACCCGCCCCACCACCATATCTCGCTGTGATGCCTACAGCCCAGCTGACTGTCTGTCTATAAATGCCACAACCCCAGCTTCTTGCTGTGTCTCTACTACTCCCCTCCCACCCGACCCCATCGTCATCGTCTGCGAATCCTCCTGATCCTTGCTCTCTATTCCTTCTTCCTGTTGTTCACTCTGATCCCGCTCGTATTAGACCTCACCACGGACGTCTTCTGTCCACCGAGCAATCCGCACGATTGCCCGCTGCCGGAGCGGGACGTAGTCCCTTTCCTCCACGGCATCCACTGCTTCTTTCTCTTGCCCATCACGACGGTGATTCTCCCTGTTCTGGGTTTCTATAAGCAAGCACAGCGCCAAAGATGACCGCGACAACAAGGACAACCAAGCAGGCAGCATCAGCAGGGGCCCCGCGAACAGGCCATAATGATTCCTCCGTCTCATCCCCCATCACCGACCAAACCCACAGATCTCAACCGCCTCCTTTCCCGCTCCCGCCTTTTCCAGGCTTCTATCTTCGCGCTCTCGGCCATCTTGTGGATTTTCCGCTTGCCCCCTGGGCAGCAAGAGCGAGCGTACGATCCGCCGCCGCCGCCCGATGATCCTCTTCCGCCCCAGCCCTGGCTGTTCGTCTTCTTGCATTGGTGGATGTCCATGGGGTATATGACCGTCGATGAGGTCATTTTTGCGGTCGGGCAGGGTGTGTTGGGGTACTTGGGTCTACGAAAGGCGATAGCAGCCGAGGGGAGAAGTGAAGGTGAGGAGGAGGCGGAGAGAAGGCTGTTGTTGGTAGCGGCTGAGGAACGTTCCACATACGGATCTGAAAATTGAACTTTCCCGCAATCGATACAAAGAACGTGCAAGGAAGCTGGCTAGTTAACGTGTTCTTTCTCATATTGAGAGCACCTGCACTGCCGAGGGGGAAAGGAAAGGCAAGGGGAAAGAAGCTAGTGATCTCATAGGAAGTGTAATCAGATTCCAGTTTATCTTTTGTATAATAGTCCCTCCCAATGTCGCTAGTTTGATATCAAGATTTTCTAAAGAGGTTTTGAGCACTTTGTGAGCAGACTCAAAGGTACACACTAATGTAAATTGGTAAGGCTACTGTGAGGACCAATGCTTGGTATTATAATGAATGAATTGAGCCCAAAATGGAGGGTCATATCGCTGAACCCATTTGTGGATTGTTTCCCATGGCCAATCATCAGAAGCCTGCTCAGGCCAGGTTTCCAAGGTGGCTGACGTCTGTTATTCGACTGCTTAATGGTAAGAACATAAAGGGTTCCAAAAGTGATCGTAAGCAGCGAAGACATAGAATAATTTCTGTGAGACCTAAATGGGTCTAGTGCTTATCTGGCTCGAGAATATACTGACAAGAATTGACATATTTTGAGAAGAAAATAAGCCCCGTCAGTTGCAGAATCATGAACTTGCCTTGCTGCAATCTTTCGAGACCTCCGAGAATCCGACGAGTTGCCACCCTTGATGCATCACATGCAGTGTAGAAAGCGGGCCGCTCAATTAGGATCAATACTAGAGTCGCACCCCCAAAAGTGATGTAGGTGACCCAGAAGGCATGCTCTTTCTTCAACTTAGAGCAGTAAGCCCTTCATAGGAAGCAAGGGCGGATAGACGGAGGGCGTACGAGAAGATAACCGAAGCAAGGAAGCAGGTACATGACGAAGCCCACGCATATCAGTACCCTCTCCAGGCTAACTAGTGAAGCGAGGCGCGCGAAGTGACAGGAGTCACAGAGATCAGTCATGAAGAAGCATAACTATAAGCGGACGAAGTCGGGATACCAGAAAGCACGTCACGGTGGCAACACGTCCTTGGATGAAAGGAAGGCCACATAGGGTCTGAAAATATGTGTTACCCTCACATCTTAGACTTGAGATCGTTTATATCCTTCTTTGACCTATGCCCCGTGGCTCTTGTTCCACGCTCCGTTCTTTAGACAACTAAGCCTCTTAGTCGAGGCACTACGATTTGCAATTCAAGAGATGGAGAGATGGTCATCAATACCCTTGTGGTTCAAGAGACTATTTTCCTGTTCTGTCTCCCTGCCTTAAGCGGAACATGGCTAGGTCACTTGACACTGAATCTAGTATATTACGATCTGTGCCAATCAGTATTAAGTAGTAAACCAGCATACACAGTTTGTCAGTAGTACTGAGCGACTTCAGTGGGTTCCGTAGATACGTGCTGTCTATATCTTTGGAATATTGGTAGACGGTATCTCACATTCTGCTAAAAAAGCTCTCACAATGAATAGGGTTAACAGCATATATGGCATTCTATCATAATGAGACCGACTGAAGAACTTATGGCCCTGTTCTCTCTACCGACCTGTCTATGGGTAGGTGCATGAGAACAAATACCCTACATGTCAGAGTGAGATTATCGGCACTGGTGTGCAGCATGATAGCGGTAGTGCGTAGCGTAGACATGCGCGAAGAATCAAGTTGACACGGGCCACGTCGAAAGAGGACGTCATCTGGGCATTACGCAAGAAAGGATGGTTGCAAAGCAAAAGAGAAACTAGGGAGAACATAGAAGTTCCCGGAAAGCGCAGAGCTGGAGGGTATGTGATATCACACCAAAAAGCCATGCGATCGAATTTGATAGTAGAGCTTGCTTCCATCCCTGCACGTCCTGTCATACAATGTTGAGGCATTCACTGCAGCCATCCTTCGCCTCTTCTTCCTGCGTGGCCTCTTACCACCCCTTCCAACCAACCAACTATCTTCTTGAGATCTAAATAGATCAAATCCATATATCTTTGAAACTTCGTCTTGACATACAATATTGGATCCAACGTTAAATCAATGGAAAGTCAGCAGTGTGAATGCAATATAACCAAGATAGAGGCTATGCCGGATTCACTGCAACGTGTACAAGATAGCAACCGATTCAGTGAAACAACAGGAAAGTGACCAGAATTTCTCGCCTATGAGTTAATCATACCACCTGATCAGATACCCCCACCTACCTCTTGCTCTCGCTTAGAAATAGAATTGCTATTGTCTCCACAACTAGTAGCATCCTTACCGGCTGTTCTTACTGTCAGAATAACTGCAACATCTATCGCCGCTGCCTGACTGCTCGATTTCTCTTCTTGTTTCCGTCTTAGTTAGGGTAGCACGAAGATGGGGTAGCACGAGTAGTTCCCAATCAGGAGTGACGTACATTCATGCAGTGGTTGATACACACCGGAAACAGGAATTACCCATAAGCCCTGCCAATGACAAGTGACAGCACTACATCCAAAATATAGTAGATTTGGTAAATAGCACATTTGGCATCCCTTTCGTTACTTGACCCTCCCCACAACTTGTGCTCCTCAAATCACTAGGCAACACGTCACAGTATGACTCGGACTTCTAAGAGGCAATAGATAAAAGAAAAGTATAATGATTTGTTGTCTTAGCTAGCTTGGCCTATCACATTCAGGCAAGGATCTTCCTTGTTCAAGCAAGAACAATTCTCCTGTCTATGATCCCATCCTTTACCTTGCTTCCATCACAAGTGCAGTCACAATCACATGGGAGGCTTAACCAGAATTTAAATGCTGTACAATCCCACATATATGTCAATTCATCTGGCTCCAACTTTCTCAGCTACTAGTAATTATTGGTGGCATTTGAATTCTTGAGCGAGACCCAGACACGTGCCCAAAACGCAATCTACATTTAAACACCTGTCGCAATCAGAAATACGTTTCTCAAACCCACAGATTCAGTCAAATATGGCAAACAGCTGCAAAGAAGAAATGACAGCTACCGCCTTGCTTGATCTCAAAAACATTTACAGCCCCATTCGGGTCGAACAGTTAGAATCAGCAGCTGACATCGCATCAATTCGGGCTGTGCTAAACGACCATCATGTTACGGCATTTCCAGCAACGCTCAGTGGCGTTCACCAGGCATTGACAGTGGCACTGCGAGTTGCTTTGCTGATTTGTGATTCAATTGACGACCTGATAATGGATCAAGAAACCACGGCTTTCCATGACGCTCTAGTTTATAGGCCCTGCCTCCACTGTACTGAAGCAGGTTTTCAGATCCATGTTCAGTCCGTGTTATCTGATTTGACATCAATGATCGATGTATCGACAGAGTACTTGCTGCGGCTGGGTTTATTTGCTGATTATGCAACACTAATCGTCAGCAAGCTGGTGTCAGCATCCGCCTTCGGAGCGGAAACGGATGATCTACTCATCCACCGCTGCCTCATGGCTTGCAGTGCGTTGTCCGAAGTGTATGCAACAGCAAGACAAAGCAGCCTTATTGCTGAGGAATATGACCTTGCACCGTGTCCTCCACGCTACGGGAAGGATGATGTCAAGGACGATATTGTTCAATCAGCTAGTGGACCCATTCTTGGTAACCATCAAATAATGACACTCAACTTTCCGTTGTGTGCTCATGCAGATATGATACCAAAGCTGGCATTCACGTCTTACAGAGACAATTTTTGTTGGTTCGAGGACTGGGCGACGGCAAACCGCGGAGACGGTGATACACCTAAACTTGTAAGTTCTGTAATCACACTTAACAAAAGCTTTGAGACTTTGTTTGCAAAGCATCCAACCTATAACTGTCCTTGGCGAGCGCGGAATAAGATAGGGACGGAACTCACGCGTTGGCTGGCGAAGCTCGATCACACCACAAAGGATTCCAGCAATGCATACTTGACACATACCGGCATACTTTGTACGAGCCATGCTTGGGTCCGCAAATTGATGGTGGCATCTATTTCGTACGGAACCTACGGCAATTGGCCTGTCCCCTTTGAGTTGGCCATGGACGACTATGCCGAAGTCGTTTGTACGTACATCGGTGCAATGTGGCGGGGCTGGAGTGTTGATCATGATGTGGAAGCATCGATTGGAGAGCATAATGCTATGAATTGGCTATGCAGAGCCTGTGCGATGGCCACAACACGCGACGCCTTCTCTCCAGCCAATGCTAAGGCTATACGAAAGGATTACATTCTCCGTTTGGCCTGGTCCCCGCAGTCATATTTCTACTTTGGTCTGAGGCATCACGGCTTCGAGCGGCGAGTAGACAACTTGCTCGAGACAAGCACTAGATTATCATCACCACACCGGTGTCTCATCCAGCAGGTCGCACCAGTTTACTCGCCCATAATGTCTGGGGACAACGTGTGCACCATTGTCACAAAACTGCTTGGTATGTGCGGCATGAGGGTAGTGAGTGATTTCGGAGATCTCGGTGACAAGGATTGGGCATGTCATCCCCGTATTTGTTCCACATGTGACTTCGCAAATTCTCGGTCTCAGCTCTTCATGGTATCTGTTGGAGCGGCACGCTTGGCGGTAATGTTGCCCAGGGATTGTAGGCCACATTTCGTTCATCTTATAGACACCTTCGGCCTTCGACTGTTTCCAGCACTCCAAGCCAGAATACTATGCCAATGCCCTTGTGTGCCTGGATGGCTGGCGGACGTGATGTCCCACGGATATACCGAAGCGGGTACGAGATGCGGTCAAAGTGACTGTACAATTCAACGTGGCTCAAGGAACCATGATCTATTACCATTCTCGCCAGGGAGCAATGAGGGGACACCTATTGGTGGTACTTCACTAAGGTCAATTCTTCTGAATCAGGCCATGGTGGAAGCCACAAGGTACGCAGAAAGGAGCGGGCAAATGGAATGGCTTGAGGTTGTATCTCAACCCCTTGTGAACCTAGATCTATAAAATAGGATATACAAACAGGGCATGAGGCTTGGCAAGTCTAGGTCACGTTATTTCTGAAATCATACACCGTCACCTATATCAAATGCTTATCTCGTGTGTCATGAAACATTTGGACACCTTACTCGACATAGGTCTCAGAGGTTTCCATTGCGGTCCTCCTGATGTATGACCCTGCCCGTATTTAGGTAAATTTTGACATGTTAGGAGGTTGCTGTGGCCAGAGTGATTGTGGTCGTAACATGCCAACCGGTTGATTTAGAGACTTTCGGGCTGATTTGATGGCACTACATCAACAGTCGGGCGAACCGTCGTGGCACGGATGTATGCAGGGAGGCCCACAGGGCTAACGACAAAGTTAGATTAGAACGAAAGAAGCTGTAAGCGGCCGTCAAGAACCAGAAGCACACTGATCTTCTTAAGATGTCAATGACCACATAAGGAGAAAATTCACGTTAGGGTAGTTAGGTAATTTTTGAACTAGATGTCTCTCGTGTTGTGCCGGAGAGGATTGTTATTGCAGAGATTTTCTTCAGTCGTACCATGAGATTCGGACTCTTAGACCTTAATCAGATTTGCTAACAGTGATTAGGTGGGGAGCTACCTGAGTTAACACCGTGAGAGTCTAACACGCGTACTGAGCAAACAGCATTATGAATGTAATGGCTACCGAAGGGAACTGAGAGATAATATGGAGAGAGAAGACGATTATCGAAATGATGGGGATCGTGTGAATGGGGATGGCCGAGACGAAAGCTGGGATGACAATAGATCAGCGGAAGACAACCAAAACAGGATGAAGGCCCGGAAGAAAGCCCGGAAGGAATTATAGAAGTTCAATACAAGGAGAGACTCCGGGAGGAACATGAAGGGGGCCGTGATATAGAGGGCAGGGGAAGTCGCACTCTCATCAAGAATGGAACTGAGGACGCCGAGGAAGGCGATTAGAAGGGGAAGAAAAGGGAAATAAATTGAGAAAAAGAAAAGAACCCCAAATAATTGATCGATGAGCATTCTGTATTGCGCACACTATATAGAGCTGATTACAGACGAGTTGCAATACTACACTCGTGAATCATATGAACGGGCACAGCATTGCAGTAGGCTGAATCAATGATCATGGGATCCGAATAACCACCTTCCCGGTGTGACTAGAGCTCCAGAGGTAGTCATACGCCTGCCTGGTCTCACCGAAGTCGAATATGCGGTCAATCACTGGCCGGATAGAGTGCGCCTCGAAGCACTCCAGCATATCCTGTAACTGCTCCCGCGAACCTACCACCACTCCCCGGACGATACAGACTCGATCCAGCGCTAGAAAAGCAGCATCAGGACCGCGTAGCTCCTTGCCCGCACCAAGTGGATCAGGGTTCGTGATGTGGCCAATGCAGTGGATAAGGCCATGCAATGCGATCGAGTCAAAGGATTGCTGTAAGGTTAGAGTACCACCGACCTCGATGATGTGGTCAACGCCGTTACCCTTGGTGAGCCGCTTGGCCTCCACTGCCCAGTCTGGATTTTTCCGATAATTAATGAGGTGGGTGGCACCGAGCTCCTTGGCCTTGGCGAGCTTTTCATCTGATGACGAGGTCACGATCGTGGTTGCGCCTGCGGCATGGGCAATCTGTAGTCCAAACGTGGACACGCCTCCAGTTCCCTGCAACAGGACAGTCTGTCCAGGGCGAATGGGAACCAATCCATAAAGTGCGTTCCAGGCCGTGAGGGCAGCACAGGGAAGGCAAGATGCCTCCTCGAAAGTCAAGTAATCGGGAATCTTCACCACTCCTAGCTTAGGGAAGATGAAGTATTCGCCCAGAAGGCCCTGTATTTCGCCACCCAGCTGTGAGAGGAGACTTTGCTTGTTCAGCTTTCCTGCAATGTGATCTTGCGTGAAGTTGGCAAGCACTCTATCACCGACTTTCCATTCGGTCACACCTTCCCCGACTTCTTCAACAATGCCTATTTGCAAACTCTCAACATACTGTTATGAAAGAGGAGAAATATAGTATACCTGCTCCATCACTTCCAGGTACAAGAGCATCTGGACCAGGAAATGGATAGGTTCCAAGGGCAATGATGCCATCTCTCCAGTTCAGTGAAATGGCTTTGATGCGCACGAGGATTTGGCCTTGTTTCGGAGACGGCTTTGAGACTTCACGGAGCACCAAGCTGTCGAAACCCTTCTTCTCTGGAAGATAGAATTGCTTGAAAGTAGGAGTAGCCATGGTGAGGAATATGTGAGTATGTCTCCTTTGGGTTTGCTAAGATGATCTTCCGGTTCACGGTGCTGGAGATTCCAGGTTATAAGCTACTCGAGCTATGATATTCATGAGAAATTACACCGATCACGCAATCTATTACTATAGATCTTGGCCATGCAAGATCCTTGTGTACAACACTGCGAGAAGGTCTGCCACAGCCGATGACGCGGATCATTGCTCGATGCGCCGGGCATACCAGCCAATTACTGGCCCGGCATACTACATTCCACTGTGCCCAGCCGAAGGCCTCATGATAATGGCTTGATATCACGCTCTCTTGATTTATAATCTTTTTCATCACACGTGTTTTCTCTTGTTCAAAGCGTAAGTAGTGTGTAATAATCAAGCTAATAGGGCATAGGCGCCTTTTTCTTGGTCACGCGAGTCACCAATTACACCACTCGGTTCATGTATACAATTGAATTTAACACACAGCGGGTACCGTCAACTAGAATCTCTAGATCATGGGCATAGGGCAACGTTTGTCGCACCAGTCGGACAAGAATCCGATAAAAACGGCGTTAAAGTTATCCTGTGATTTATAATACCAAATGCCCTAACAAAATGATCCCATCTTTAGCGCCATGTTTATCTATGGAATGAGTGGTCATATCGTTCCATGCAATTCCTGCATTTCTCGGGCCGAGAATGCGGCTCGGATTGCTTCCCGAATGGACGTTTGCGCCGAATGCCCTTCTTCCCCTCCGCATTGCCTGGTTGCAGTGCCATCCACATCATTCTTCTTGTCTTTCTGTTACCATTCTCGATAGTAGCACAGCTCCACAATGACGTTCTCAAGAACTACACCAACAGACTTGGACTGTGTATCCACGTAATATGCCCAGTGAGGACTAAAAAATAGACATGCTCGGGAAATCCGACTTTTCGCAGTACTTGTTGGTAGAACTGAGAATATCATAGCCCGCAGGCTACTATCGGCTGTACCTACCTGTAAGGGATTAGATCAAAAGTTAGCAGCAAGAAACTAAGGCAATAAAACACTGCATTTATACTCCGCGATGAACTATACCACCCGCCTAGAAACACTTACGACACACTCTCAGGGAACAGAACTGACCTTGTATGGCTAAATCTTGCTTTACTGTTTGACCTACAAGTCT